GGGGGTTCTCTCTTTCTGTTGCAATGTTCATATTTTTATTAATATAACATCAGAATAGGGGCAGCCCACCATAGTAAGCCATCGGGCCTGCAAACAGATCTCAGTACCAGAGTCTCTGAGAGATAAAAGTACTCATATGTAAGAATCAGACATGGGCACTGCTCTGCTGATAATGTTAACCGCCTGGCTATAAGGCCATTCTAAAGACTTCTTTACTGCGAGCCATTCAGCTGAAACATGTAAATCAATTAGTGCTAATCGCCATGCTTGTTCTAAGTCAGTTCCTCTAAAGCTGTAGAAGGCAGATGGCAGCCAGGGATGACCTACGTAGACCTTTGCACGGATCACAGAGAGATAGTCCGGCAAGTGCAATTTTTAGGACGAGGTCAACAATGGCGGCATCTGAATTCCATTCAGTACAGGTTTCTTCAAATACACTAAAAGCTATACTATGTGTAAAATGATTACAATAAAAGTTCTATGTTATTGCAGACACTTACTTGAGGCGGTTCCATTTCACCAGCTTCCTGAAACTGAAGGTTGCTAAGTGGGAGGGTCTAACGGCTATGATCACATGACCATCCCTAGAGTTGTTCTAGAAGTGATGAGCAGACCAGTGAGCCAATCACAGGAAAACCTGATTTCTGGGATGGTTCCGTATGCAGGGTAGCCATGGATGAAAAGCAAATCGCTGGCTGCAGACTGAAATGGAGAGAATGTTCTTTGCAGACAAGATGACACGAGTAGCAATAATATATATAGCATTTGATATAACAAACACGGAGGTTTTCTATAAAAGGGATGGGGGATAGTAAAAGCACCAACAAATCAAGCCAGTCCCCACACTTTTCTGAATAGTGTGTTCACATATCTATAATTTTAGAATTTGTACTGTATGTCAAACCCGAATCCTGCTCGCCACGGCCTTTGGTAGTGGTCATGCCCGGCAGGTACTTCGGAGGACACAGCAAGGGTATCCAGGATTACTTAGTCCGTGTATAGTTGTAGTAGTTTCTTACCTCGGTTGAGTGCCAGGAACATACTCCAGCACCTACATCTGCACAGCCAACTCAGTCACCTCCGGGTACTCCGGTTTCCTCCGAAGACATGGTAAAAGATGAATTGGCTCCGATCTAAATTGTTCCTGTATGTGACATAGGAACCTTACATTGTAAGCTCCTTGAGGGTAGGGACTGATGCGACTGTGCAACTATGTAAAGCGCTGTGAAAATGGTCAGCGCTCTATAAATACCTGTAATAAATCAAGTGGAACAATAGCTATTAGAGTAAAACATTGGTGGCAGGTAGGATCTAACGGCAGAAGAGACTCCCATAGGTCTCCTTCTGCCTACCACCAATACTTCAGATCTGTACAGGCAAAGCTCAGTGCACAGCCTTGGTGCTGGGATGAATAAAGGGCACGTTCACACAAGATGCTAAAATGGCCTGTTCTAAGCCATGGGCTAGTGTTGGCAGTGCCTTGCGTTACCTTTTTTTTTTAAATGAAACTTTATCGAAATGCCAATGTGACATTATATTCATTTTGTGGTGCAGCGACTTGTGGCATTTTTTGCACTACAAACCACCTTAAAAGGAGAAGTATTGTGAGAGTAAAATGCACTCTTCCCAATAGTTTGAACCAGTGGGTGACACGCAGCTGTCCCATGCCGGCTCTATAGATTGAGAGCTGAGCCATCACAAACGGCTGATCACTCAGCTCACAGATTCTCCATGCAGTGCTCATTGGAAGGACAGACAGGGGAAGGGGCGGGCACATCTGGTTCTGGCCTAACAGAGGCAGTTGTCAATCAGGTAGTGGGGTGGATCCCGACAATATTATCAGGATCTTTCCCGGCGGTGGCAGCAGCACGGCTCAGCACTGTCAGCATACAGCGGGCATTACCTTGCTATTTGACAAGTTTGGGTCACAGGAGGACATTAGTAAATCTACTCCATTGTCTCAAAAAGGGACTAAAGCCAAGAAAAGGTTAGTTCTCATTCAAGGCAGTGTTGTGGTGTGAACAGGGCACATAAAAAAATCAAATTGTTTTCTCTGTGCCCTTTGCAGTGCCTGGCTTTGATCAGGTGCTGCGCATGGTGCCAACAAAGGCCTTAATCCCCGTGAGCATGCGCAGGAGTTAAGTCTTCGGAGGCTGGCCAGTTAAAATGGCACGAAGACACAGAACCCAGAAAAAGAGCAATGTCAGCAACTGCAAGAGAGCCGGCGGATGTCACAGCACCTGAGGGGAGGTACGTATTTAGGGCTAGTTCACACCAACCCCAGTGTGTTCTGGCCCGATTGGTGCTGGAACGCAGCGGATCGCATTCCAGCTGGCTCACTTTGTTTTGTGGCGGGAGGGTGCATGGAGGTGCAGTGAAGTCAATAGTAACGCAGCCGCTCGCTCGGTCCGCAGTGTGATCGGCCGCAGGGGAAGGTGTGGCACATCAGCGCATGCGTTCCGGTGCAGTCAGGAAAAAATGCTGCGTGCACTCATTTTTCTGACTGCACAGGACCGGAACGCAGACACTAATGTGCCACGCATTTCAGCACGGGCAAAATCACACTGCGGCCGGAGGGCGTGACCGCGGTACCATTGACTTCACCTCACCGCCACGCCCCCTCCCGCCCCAAAAACAAAGTGAGCCGAAACGCACTGAAGCTGGTGTGAACTAGCCCTTAATAGAAGTACAACACATCGTTGCCATACCAATGTAAAGAGGACAAAAAGGATTCAAAACGCAAATTGCTGCGCATGGTGCGAACAAGGGACTTCATGCCCGTGAGCATGCGCAGTCATCCAAGGCTGACCAGTTAAAATAGCCGAAGACACAGAACCCCCCCCAAAAAGAGCGATGTCAGCAGCTGCAAGAGAGCCGACGGATGTCACAGCACCTGAGGGGAGGTACGCATTTAATAGAAATACAACACATCGTTACCATACCAATGTAAAGAGGACCTGTCCTACGTCGTTCAACAAAAACCAAACAAGCCAATCTGCCATATCCAGCATTTATTAAAGACGACACAAAAAAAGGAAGGTTGGGGGGGGGGGACAGGGGGGTGACCCAAGTTAGCACGCTTTCCCATTAGTAGTCCATGAAACCCAGTTCGAAAACTGGACACACAAAAAGAAGAAAAAGAAAGAAGTAAAATTAAATGAAATGTGGGAGAGGGAGAGGAGAAGAAGAAAAAATAAAATGACGCGCTCCGTCAGACGGAAAGCTCAGAAGTAGAAGTGTAAAAGCCAGGAGGAGTAAAATCAGGCAGGAAGAAATAAAAGACAAAGAAAAAAAAAATAACTGCAGCAATGTGATTGTGTGATACATGTTTTCACAGTCAAATAAATGTGCCACACGTCTCTTAAACAGTAATAAATTTAAATAGATTTTTTTTTTTTCTCGACACCAGAACTTTAAACTATGCAGACAGGATTAAATGGTTATAAGCACAAACTTATAAATTTTTGTTTCTTTCTGAAAATGGGAAAAAACAAAAATAAAATAAAATTAGTATAATTTACAGCGTCTCAAGATAAATCTGACTTTTATATTTTTATCTTGTAATTTCCTTTTTCCAGTAAGTCTGAGGTCTACAGGATGTGTCTAGAAAAACTGACTACCGCAGAAAATGAAGACAGCCTAAATTCCTTTTTCTTTCTTAAATTGGGCATGAACATTATTTATTTTTTTTATCATTTTTGCCGTTTTTGATTTTTTTTTTTCTTGTTGTTTTAATATTTTTTTTTTTTTTCAATTGCTGTAACATTGTCCTTCGGGCGGCTGAGGAAGTTTCATATTTTCTTTGGACATCATTAGACGTCGCATTTCTTGAAGGATAACTTTGATGCAATAGGAATTTTGCCATTTTGCTAAAACGGATATGGATCTTGGGTCCACCTGGAGGGGGGGGGGGGGGGGAAGAGAAAAAAAAAAAACACAAATGAATAAAAACAACAAAAAAAATATGACAAAATCAGAGCATCTCGATGATCTCCTCCTAGTTCCATGGGGACGTCCAGGTGTTATCAGACATCGGGGACAACATTCATGTATTGAAGAACTACAAACCAACGTTGATCTAAATTTATATACAATAGTATATATAATATATTTTTTTTGTATGTGGCATCATCATAATGCCATTTCAAGTTACAGGCAAGAACTGTATGAAAGTAGATCGAAAGCCAAAACTTTGTTTTCCATATTTAACAAATTAGGGAATGATTAAACACCCTTTCAGATCGTTTGATATCTGTGTCCTGTTGGGGAGATAATTTTTCCCCATCTCACCCCTTATGCACCTTTCACACAGGTGCTTCCATCAAGATTGCCTGTCAGTTTTTCAGGTAGAACCCATAAGGTGCCCAATGCTCGTCCTGTGGGCAGCCAGGTGTAAACAGACGGACACTGATGTCACAGCAGTGACATACAATCCATACCGCTCCGATCAGGAGAGAATCCATGGACTGATCACTTCCCCACCAGCCCATGTGAAAGGAGATCATATACTATATCATATAAGAGATCATATACTATCATATCATATAGGAGATCATATACTATATCATATAAGAGATCAAATACTATATCATATAGGAGATCATATACTATATCATATAGGAGATCATATACTATATCATATAAGAGGTCATATACTGTATCATATAAGAGATCATATATTAAATCATATAAGAGATCATAGATTAAATCATATAAGAGATCATATACTATATCATATAAGAGATCATATACTATATCATATAGGAGATCATATACTATATCATATAAGAGATCATATACTATATCATATAAGAGATCATATACTATATCATATAAGAGATCATATACTATATCATATAGGAGATCATATACTATATCATATAAGAGATCATATACTATATCATATAAGAGATCATATACTATATCATATAAGAGATCATATACTATATCATATAAGAGATCATATACTATATCATATAAGAGATCATATACTATATCATATAGGAGATCATATACTATATCATATAAGAGATCATACACTATCATATCAAATAGGAAATCATATACTATCATATCATATAGGAGACCATATACTATATCATATAGGAGATCATATCATATAGGAGACCATATACTATATCATATAGGAGATCATATCATATAGGAGATCATATACTATATCATATCATATAAGAGATCATATAGGAGATCAGACCATATAGGAGATCATATACAATATCATATTATATAGGAGATCATATACTATAATATCATATAGGAGATCATATACTATATCATATAGGAGATCAAATACTATATCATATAAGAGATTATATATTAAATCATATAAGAGATCATATACTATCATATAGGAAATCATATACTATCATATAGGAGATCATATACTATCATATCATATAAGAGATCATATAAGACATCATATACTATATCATATAAGAGATCAGATCATACAGGAGATCATATACTATCATATAATACAGGAGATCATATACTATCATATAATACAGGAGATCATATACTATATCATATAAGAGATCATATACTATATCATATAGGAGATCATATTATATAGGAGATCATATACTATATCATATCATATAAGAGATCATATAGGAGAGCAGATCATATAGGAGATCATATACTATATCATATCACATAAGAGATCATATACCGTGTTTCCCCGAAAGTAAGACATCCCCCGAAAATAAGACCTAGCGCTATCTTCGGGGATGTCTGTAATATAAGACCTACCCCGAAAATAAGACCTAGTTCGGGGTAGGTCTTATATTACAGACATCCCAGAAGATAGCGCTAGATCTTACTTCCGGGGTAGCTGTGAAGACCGGCCGCAGCTCCCTCACCGCCCCCTCGCCCGTCCACCTACCCGCACGCTGTTGCTCTCTGGATGACGACATCAGAGCGGAGAGGCAGCTCCCTCCCGCCCCCTACCCGACACGCCCCCCCTCCAGCAGCACGCATGCCCGCCCCCTCGTCTCCTTAGTTCCGAGCGGAGAGGCAGCTCCCTCCCGCCCCCCTGCCAGACACGCCCCCCCGGCCGCACGCATGCCCGCCCACCTGTTTGTGGCTCCCTGGACGGCAGAGCGGACAGCTGCAGCCAGGTAAGACATCCCCCGAAAATAAGACCTAGTGTCTTATTTCGTGCAAAAAAAAAAAATAAGACACTGTCTTATTTTCGGGGAAACACGGTAGGAGATCAGATTATATAGGAGATCATATACAATATCATATAAGAGATCATATACTATATCATATAGGAGATCATATACTATATCATATAGGAGATCATATACTATATCATATAGGAGATCAGATCATATAGGAGATCATATACAATATCATATCATATAAGAGATCATATACTATATCATATAGGACAGTGGTTCTCAACCTGTGGGTCGCAACCCAAAAGTGGGTCGCAAGCCACAGTTGAGGGGGTCGCCATGTGCTGTGCTAGGTAAGAGACTCCTTAGCCTTCTAGTGCAGCAGTGTCAGTTCTCCTAGATGGTGCTGCAGCAGCAGCGGCCGGAGGGGATCTGAGAGAGGGAATTGGGCAGGAGTGAGGGGAGGTGAGTGCCACTAGCCACCTGAGAGCCCACTCAGATACTAGTATTGGTGCACCCCTAAATATTACCATTGGGGTCACCACATCTTGGCAAATGTTACCAAGGGGTCCCGGCCCCACAAAGGTTGAGAACCACTGATATAGGAGATCATATAGCAGCAAAGGCATGGTGACAGTAAAAGAAAAGATGAGGTTGGAAATAATACTGGTAGTAAAGATGGGAATCATGGAAATGATTAAAACAATAAAGAGGTTTTTTAAAATCTTTTTGTCCTATATTTGTGTTACATTCCAGTCCTGATGAAGGGTGCGAAGTCGCAGCCCACCTAAAGAACGTTGGCTCTGTAAACAATCTGTTTTTGGAATAAACTTGTATATCACGGTGTGAAGATTTAACTCTAGAATTCTTCTCCCCTATCACTACCCAAGGTGACGGCAGCTTCTGCTGTGCAGAAGCTGCCAATCCAACATTCAAGTAATCAGTATTTAAATACTATATCCGTTTTACTATTATGCAAAAGACACCCCAGAAAATCCCCCCAAAAAATCCTCTACCGGCACGCCGTCTCATCTTCTGAGCAAGGAGCCCAAAGAGTAAAGTTCCATTATTGTCCATAGACTGAGTTCTCTATACTGAAGTATAAATAATAATATCATCATTATACTCACCACTCCATTAGAATTATTCACCCCGCTCATATTAACTTTCGTGACAAATCTAACGAACGGAGGGCATTCGGGGTATTTAGGTCCACACTCTATTTTAAGGCTGTATATTCTGTTTTCATAAATTGTCTGGAAGAGAAAACACACAGACGTCACGTGTTTAGAACACTAATAGAAAGCATTGGGGTACACGATAAGTCGGGTGAGATGAACATAGACAGTGGATTCGTGGTTAGCACTTCTGCCTTGCAGCAATGGGGGTCCCCGGATACAATCCTGGGGGAGGACACTATCAGCATGGAGTTTGCATGTTCTTCCTGTGCTTGTGCAGGTTTCCTCTGGGCACTCCAGTGTCACATGCCAAACATATGCTGGGAGGTTTACTGGATGCGCTCTAAATTGGCCCTGTATGTGTGTCTGCATATGAGAGATGCCCAATAGACTGTAAGCTCCTTGATGGCAGGGACTGATGTGAACGTCTATGGACTATGTAAAGCGCTAAACAAAATGTCAGCACCGTATAAATGTCTGTAATAAATCGCGCTATCAGAGAACACAACGGCACCGGTCTAAGCGCTGCGCACTGGTATATGTGTTGGTTACTTGTTGCTCGGTTTATGAAGCGGACAGACTCTACTCGGCCCGTGTGCTGCAGATCGGCAGGATGTCCTGCTCAAATCCCTGACGCAACATCTGCAAAAGTTCTAGTGCTGGTCATTATCTCCTCCGCACATCTGTGTCACATTGTTACCAGGGGCTTGGCCACCCCAACTTTACAGACAAGAACCCGAAAGGCCACTCACTGGATGGGGAAAACTCCAGGCAAATGTAAAAGACACAAATGAAGGGAACTCGGTAATTACTATTACATCTTAACCCCTTCGTGACGGGAGACGTACGTACACTGTACGTCCAGCCACAAAGGGACCAAATGACTTGTCACGTACACTGTACGTGACGAGTTATTTGCTGCTTTAGAGGGCTGTTAATTGTCAGCGCTGGCGGATCGGAGAGGGGGAATCCAGCCCCTCCCGTCACAGCAGAGACCTGCGACAGGATCGAGAGGTGAGCGAACGCCGGTATGTGTTCGCTCACCTCCCGATCTACTGAGCCGACCTGTGACAGTCTCATTGTCACAGGTCGGCTAGAACTATGAGGTGAGTGAAAAGCACCCCCTCCCCCCCCTCATAGTTCTACTTTAAACATATTTTATTAATACAAGCAGTGTCAGTATGTGAATCAGACTTTGCATGAGCAGATTGCAATTCCCATACAGGAGAGCTCAGACTGGGAGAAAGAGAAGCAGCACAAGGAGCCAATCAGCTGTCCTATGAGGCTAACAAGCAACATGCTGATCAGAGGAGAGAGCAGTGACAGAGAAATTAGCTTATCAGTCTGCTGCTTCTCCTTTCAGTGTCCAATGATAGCTGGGGGGAGGGACAAGACCTGTAAGTGTTACTGACCTGCAGCAGATGTCCTATCCGCCAAGACAGGACTGTGATGTGTGGCAGAGCTGTGTACATCTCACGATTGGATGGACAGGAATACCAATCTTTAGGCAGGTAAAACGGCTGTGTTATATGTACCTCATTTGTGTGTTTATCCCTTTGCCTGTAAAAAATATTGAGCGGCCAGACTGTCTACTTCCCGAGTCCCTGAGCTGGGACCGGTTCTGATACAGATTGCCTACACTAAGGCCCTGTTCACACCGGGGCGGTTCGGCCGTGCGGATCCGCCGACAAACGATCCCATACATTGCTATGGGGACCATTCATGTGACCGCGTGTACTGCTCCCTGACCCATTTTTTCTGCGCTGACCAGTGCGGTTTCCATACCGCTTTCAATGGAATCGCACTGATCAGCGTGGTTTTGGGCGCATTAAATTGCATTTCAGCTCTGAAACGCAATTAAAGACTCCCAAAACCTCCCTTTTGAAATCAGCGCGGAGACCGCGCCGATCCGCGGCCGCCCTGGTGTGAATGGGCTCTAAAACCTTTACTCCACAAAGTCCCCGACCGCTGGACACACCTACACCGGACATAGAAAGACCCAAAGACTCTGCTACTCACTCTAGGAGGTCCGATGATCATACCAGTCCATTTTGTGAGTGTCATGTCTTCGTCGTCGACCAGACCCCAGCTGACTGTGCCGTCACCAACTCCTTTCTGTCCTTCCTCGAGTTCTTCCAACAGTCGAAAGTTACGAGGGACTTTGACGCCTGGAAGGGATGAAAATGGACGGTCAGAGAGGCTTCCTTAGAATCGAGAAAAGCAGAACCAAACACGAATGACAGCGATGCGGAACAGAAAACAACCGTCTACAAAAACCAATCCAGCTTTATATTAAAAGGTGATAACCGTTCATATACACCAGGGATGGCTAAACTCCGGCCCTCCAGCTGTGGTGGAACTACGAATCCCATGAGGCTTTGCAAGATTCTCACAGCCACAGACATGATTCCCGGAGAGAGAAATGCATCATGGGATTTGTAGTTTCACCCACAGCTGGAGGGCCGCAGTTTGGCCATCCCTGATATACACGTACCTTACACCAGGGGTGGGCAACTCCAGCTGTTGTGGAACTACGAGTCCCATGAGGCATTGCAAGACTGTAAGCTACAGGCATGACTACCAAAAGCATGTTGGGGTCTGTAGTTAAAGCACAGCTGGAGGGCACCCTTGCCTTGGAGGTAAAGCTACCTCAAATAATAAAGAGGAACTCTGACTGGGATAGGCATGGACAATACTATGTGCCTGTTGGTAAGACGTCCCCTCACTTCCTGTCTCTGAAGAAAGCGGAAAGCGTTTCAAAAGCAGGGAGAAATCCCACCTTGGTCAGCCATTACTTGGACAGGTGACCCCCCCCCCTCACTTCCTGTTTTGGTGACAACCGTGAACAATGGGTTTCCTGTAAGTGACTTGTTCTAACCATTCCCACTCTACCCAAACTGTAAATGAAAAGTTGACAAAGTTCTATGAACAGTCACCACCTCCCCCTTCCCTAACACAGACCGTGTCTCTGAATCCTGAACAACATAAGCTGTGGGTAGAGGAAATGCAGCCAGTTCATCGCCGGGTTTCACTTTAAGAGACTCCATATTGTAAACCAGGAGCACATGACAGAGGTCAGCGCACAGACTCATTACGACATGAAATGAAAACGAGAAATGACAGCTGCCACCCGTGGAAGAGAAAAGAGGCGTCACTCTGAGCTTCATCCACCGAGAATGGGGAAGTGAAAATCCAAGTACGTCTGATAAAATCACAAAGGGACGGCGCTGGAAGCAGATAAACAAGTTCTATGAAACCTTTCCTGACTACCAACTTGTCAGCCGTAAAACACTCAATGAAAACGGGGCCGACGGGTCCTACCTGAGCTGTCCTCTGCTGGAATACAGAACAACCTGCCATTGCTCTGAGAAAAAGGAGAGATGGGGAGGTGTTTCATAGTCCTGCAGGGGGAGAGCTGGACAGGGCTGACAACACTACTTGGGATTTTAGTGCACCAGAGACAGAGTTGTCAGTTTAAACAGGAAGTGAGGAGCTCATTGGATTGTGGCACATCGAGTAAAAGTGAAAAGGGTATGTAAATGTTAGGCCCCGTTCACATTGAGCGATTTATCATGCGGCAATTTACCGCGCGATATTGCTCTCCAATGGTTCTCAATGGGGCAAAGGGTCCTTCTGTCGCGGGTCGCTACAGCAGGACCCTTTTTTGGAGCGGATTTAGCCGCGATTCAAGCTTGCTCAATGCAAGCATTTGCGCGATATCGCGCAACAAATCGCGCAATATCACGCAAAATGCAAATCGCGCGATTTGCAAACCGCTCAATGTGAACGGGGCCTTAGTTAGAATTAGATGGGGTGGGGGGGGGGGATGTGGTACTGAAGAGCCTGGAGCTCTGCTTTAATCTGTGCCAGGTAGGGAAGTGGTTCATGGTCACAAGTGTACTCCACTTTAATATTAGGCGCCGTCCTTTATGTTACATGAAAAGTATAGTAACACAGGGGATGGAATAGAGTAATATGGAATTCAGGAGCCAGTCTGTCCAATCCAGGAGCCGGCTCCATTGGCAACAACTAGAGAAAACTTTAAAAGTTAGGCGCCAGCTGTAATTCTGAAGCAGCATCGGCGAGCCGGCTCCTGGGATTGGTCCAGCCCTGACATAACTACAAATCCTGAAAGGTTTCAGCGCTGCTTTGTGCCTGGAAGCGATGCTCCCCATTAAACAATTGGCTGAATAATAGCTTATTCCTCAATGTGACCATCTCCAGGAGCGACATGTACACTTTAAAGGGGTGCAGCGTCAGATGAAAGGAGACAAAAGTGGAAAATGCAATGCCAGCAATCTTCACTTTCATAATAAGCCAAAATCTTGTGGCGCGTCCTGGCAGGGGAACCCGGGGACGATGCTCTGGGTTCCAGAGAGACCACCAGGCACAGCATTCCGCGGATAATTGTACAATAAACAGCAGAGTGTTTATGTCTTGTGGCGAGTTACATCTCTGGAAAATCCTCCGCAGACAAACCAGAAATCACTAGAATAGGGACACCGCAATCAACCACTACTAAATGAGCTCCCATGGTCCCCCCCTCCCCACCCCCCCGTTTTTGGATGCACCCAGAGCTGTAATCATGCAAGTCTAT